GCGTGTTGTTTCAGGTTGCTTGGGTTGTCCCGCTCGCCTGCCCCCCCGTTTGTTTTAAAGGTCCACACGTTGATGAAGACGTGTGCCGCCGCCACAGTTACCCTGGAGGTGTTTGTGTGGTTTGGGTGGGGGTGGGGGCATTTTTCTCGTCTTGGCCAGCGGGTTTCAACCAAAGTAAATAGAGCGCGCCTGGGTCCTCCCGTGCAGCGGTCTCGCCAAATTGTGTCATTTCATTTCAAATTTACTGGCTGAATAGTCAAAGGAAATCTGTGTGCCCATGAAAATATACACACGTAACGACTTAACACTATATGCTCACATGTACGGATTAAAATAATAATTTCTTAACACATTCTTTTTTTTTACTACACTTTACACGACGACCTGATTTTCACATCTGCGTTTTATTTGAACGTTTCGTGAATGGCGCCGTTTGGGATTGTAATTTTTTGACGGCGTTTGGATGCCCCCGCGACAGCCGTGCTCCCCCCTGCGTGGGCGGGCGAGCGGGCGGGCGGGCGGGCGAGTGAGTGAGCGAGTGAGCGTACGTGTGTCCACGTGACTGTTTTAGCTGTGCCGGCTCAGCGGTTAGAGGGGAGCGGATAGAGGGGAGCGGCATCGCGGCGGTTAATGGGGAGCGGCGGTTAGCGGGGAGCGGCGGTTAGCGGGGAGCGGCGGTTAGCGGGGAGCGGCGATGTAGTGGTTAGCTGAGAGCGACGGCGACGCAGTGGTTTGGTTAGCTGAGAGCGGCGGCGTGGCGGTTAGCAAGCCGCTGCGCTTACGAACCCGGCGGCCCCGAGTTCGATTCCCGCTTGCGAGCCACCAACACAGGCGACGATTGTTATCTGAAACGGTCCTGGCCCTCGCCCAGGTCGACTCAGCCTCAAGCGAGCACCTGGCACGGGTGCGTCAATTATCGGCCACTGGGGAGAAAGAGGCGGCCGGGGCGTGCGGCGCCCCTTTTGCGTCCTCACTTTGGAGACCGACGTTCCGGGCAGTGGACCTCTTTGAGCAGAGAGGCCGCAGCCCCCGGTTGACTGACCGTGAGAGCGAGAGAGCAGCGGGGGGAAACGTCCCCCAGGAGATCGTCGCTTGGCGTGAAGGCTCCATCCCATGGGGGGGGCGGGGGGAGGGGTGTTGGTCCTGCTCCTCCTCGTGAGTGTATTCACGTTTGGGGAAAGGGGGCAAGTGACGGGGGACGGGTTGGGGGTGGGTTTATAAGCCGCTCCGTTGAGCTATCATTTGCGATAGCCAAGTCGCTTTTGATAAAGAGATGTATAGCTCAGTGGGGCCTTACCTGGTCAAATAAAAAATAGTAAAAAATAGTTGGGTGGGGGGGTGGGGGGTTGACCCCCACACACACGTGCGGGCGAGGATAGGGCCGTCTCTAAATTTTGAACGTTTTGGCTCGTCCAGGAAGCCGCTTGCTGTGCCCGCCTGCCTTGCAGGGCGGGCGACGCGCGCCACCCTCTTTCACTGGCTCCCGAGTGACGTCGTGTCGCGCAACGGGAGTGCACTTGACGATAAGTGGAGCGGTTCCCTGAACGATTTTACTGGGGAAGGATGAGAAACCACTCGGACAGAAAGTGTGCGTGCAGGCTGGAAGAGAGCGGCAGCATTAATGCTCCACTCCAGCGGGGATTTCTTCTCGACGGCAAGAGATTCAGCCAAGCTAAGATATTTTTTTATTTTACGATGGTAACGCTCACTGAGCTATGTAGATATTTTTCACAGTCCTATCATGCTTTGCATGTCACAGTTACACCATACTGTACTGATGAATCAGCACTCACTGTACGCTGTATCTTTAATTCCTAGAAATGATCAAATGGATTTTTTTGCTGCTGCCATGTATATGAATAATAATCGGGCCACAATATTGACTCATTTTAGTAGACGGTCTGAAACAAAGCTGTGTGCGGTCTGTTGAAGTCACGTGACATGCAAGTCATGATGGTAGGCCTGATCCAGGGGCGGTCCCAGGAGCCGTTTACATTTCACTCGCCACCGATGTTAGCCGTGGCCAGCAAAACAAACTGGGATCGGCAAGTTTAAAGCGCGGTGTGCGCTAACCATGTGCCATCGCTCCAAACTGATATGTAAATTGCTTACTTTTTATTTCAGGTAAAAGCGTGGCAGAGTAAAATCGTACAATTCAAGTGCACGAAAGTAGGACATCAGATAAAACTTGGGCTGCGGTTGAAATTAAATCTTCGACAACATTACCGTTGTTATTTGACCTTTAGGTTTTTGTGGGTTCTGCTTGCCTGCCACTGTTTGCTAACCACTGGCGTCAACAGTTGTGCGGATTTCATCTTGTTCGTCTACAAAACAATCTTAGTTTGGATTTGTAATGCATCTAAATATTAAGGCTTCTCTGCACGCTGTACAAACAGGGAAGGGCGGGCGGGCTGCGGAGTAGAAGGCTACCACGCAGAGAAGGAGGCCACTTGGTTTTAGATGCCAATGAAAGGGATTCATCGAGAGAGAGAGGACGGGTCACAGACACAGCAAATGAGCAAGATCTCGAGGCAGGGATTGGCCAGGGCAGCATTGTCGGCAATGCACGCAGCCGTAGTCCTCTACAGTGTTTGCATGTTTTCATAGATGTACCGTATTCGATGCACTTTTGTTCCCAGTATTATAAGCAAAGCTTTGGGGGTGCGTCTCGTAATCCGGTAGGTGTATGAATATGTGTGTGTGTGGGGCGAGCGGTAGTGTAACGGTTAGCGCGCTGCGTTACGAACCTGACAGCCCGAGTTCGATTCCCGTTCATGGTCAATACCAGTGGCGATTATCTGAACTGGTCCTGGGCCTTCCTTCGGTCGACTCTGCCTCAAATGAGTACCTGGTGCGGTGTGTAAAAAGATCGCCTCTTGCGAGACAAAGGCGGCCGGGCGTGGTGCTAGCCTTTATAGGTGCTCGCTAACAGCACTCTCCCCAACAGTCTGTTCAGGCTATACGGGGGATCTTTGTCTGGGTCGTCTCAGTCAGTCAACCCATGGCACCTGGGTCTGTCCCGTGACCTGCCAGTGGTCTTTCGACACTTCACATGGCCTTAATGTGCACATGGCCTGGCACAAGCGCCGTGGTGATGTCACCGTCACTTAGTGGCGAATGGCGGTTGTTGTGTCTGTGTGGCCTTCATAGGCGCTCGGTAACAGCAACTTGCCCCAAAAATCTGTTTTAGGCTGTACGAGGAAACTTTTTTCTTTGTGTGGCCACATTTGTGTCACTTTGTTGACGCCGGAGCACAGGTTTGTGCTGCGTTTTATTTTCCAAAGCGTATTATAGTCTGAAGAATACGGTAAACAATTATAATTAACATTTATAAGGCGCAATTTATCCAGGGATCTAAGTGCGCCATGCACGAAGTTAGGAAATTTCACTACCTCAAGGTAATCCGGAGTCCACTGGTGATGCATGGGAAGTTGGAGGCCTGCAGGCAAGAGCTAAACACAGGGCGAGGGAGCTCGCCTGTCGAGCCACGAGTGGCAGCAGCAGGGCCGTCCAGACTCTTTGGGCAGCGCATGCAAAGGGCTCAGTCACCACAAGTGCAGAGTCGAGTTGAACTATGAAACTATTTCAAACTGTAAACTATTTTATTTGACCAGGTAAGGCCCATTGAAGTGGCTTATCACGTGGAGTTTTTAACGTAGATGATTTAAAACTGCACGGCCTCCACTGGCTTCCTAATATTGGAAGGAAGAGCGTTCCAGACGGCCGTAGAAGCGCATCTAAAAGTGCGCAATGCGGTGACCACCGTCTTTTTTCGATGGCTCACTAAAAAGCTGCTGCTGCTGCTGCGAGGATGACCGGAGCTCGTGCGTGATGGTTTTATGCTCCTTGACGATAAATGTACACTATGTTGAACTCAAATCTTGACTTAAAGCTTTCGTGACTGCAGGAATTCATACTGTTTGGGTCTTTCGGTAAAGTCACGTGACTTTACCGAAAGACCCAAACAGTGTGTTGAACTTCTTTCGCACCACCGTACGTAGCCAACCATGCTAATCGGAGGTGCGGCGGAAGGACGACAAAAAACGAACTGCACAAAAAAGACACTCGGCTGTCGGGAGACAGGGACGGAGGACATGGGGCAATACCACTGCAGATAGGAAGGGAGCCGGATTCGTTTCGGTCACCTCTTATGTTTTTCTTTTCTTTATGTCAATGTGTGTTTCGGTGATATCCGCTCTCTCCGCTTGTCATTCCTTCCTCCCTTACTTAAATAAAGAAGTTACCCTTTCCGCCTTCGGTAGGGCCCCCCGGTATGGTTTGGGCAGTGAGCCCACCACCCCCCCCCCCCCCCTTCATATTTCTATATCCCCTTTGCTTTCCACACTGGTTTGGCTCACGTTGACGGTGTGTGCACACGTGCCTCACGACGTGATGGATCGGGGCCCGTACATTGCCTCAAAAATAATAATGTGAAAAAAGTATGAACAAATAAAAAGTAATCACATTAGATTACAATAAATAAAAAGCATCTACAGCTGCTGGTCAGCTCGGCGGAACAGACGACGTGAAACGGCTTCACCCCGCCCTCCGCCCCCCGCCCCCCGCCCCCCTGTCCGCGTCAGTGTGCGTCAGAGGTCGTAACCGGGTACCCGATACCCGTACCCTACCCGATACCCGGCTACCCGTACCCGGCCGGGTACGGGTACAGGTACCCGTTTGCGACCCTGGTGCGGCCAGGTACGGGTAGGCCGTGAGTCACTGGTGAGTCACCGTTTGTCACTCATTTCCCAACGTCTTGTCTCTTCTCACAATTCAAGTTCCTAGAATCAACCCACCCGCGCCTGCAACAGGGCTTCATCCCAGAGGTCGCAATCAGGTACCCGATACCCGTACCCTACCCGTACCCTGCCGGGTACGGGTAGGGTACGGGTACGGCCGCGTACGGGTACGGGTACCCGTTTGTGACCCTGGTGCGGCCGGGTACGGGTAAGGAATCAAAACCCGTATGCGACCTCTGCTGTGCGTTTGCCTTGTCGCAGCATCGACTGCGCGGGGATCTTGAAGCTGCGCAACTCGGACATCGAGCTGCGGAAGGGCGAGACCGACATCGGGCGCAAGAACACGCGTGTGCGCCTCGTGTTCCGCGTGCACATCCCGCAGCCCGGGGGCAAGGTGCTCTCCCTGCAGGCCACCTCCATCCCCGTCGAATGCTGTGAGTGCACCCCACCTCTCCACGCGCGTGGCCGTACGCGGGCGATCGCGCCTCCCCGACGGGCGGCGGTGCGGGGGGAATTGTTTGAGCCCCGTTCTTTCGCGCCGTACGTAGCCAGCCGGCTGGCCAGCCGTGCTGATCGGAGTTCGCGGGAAAGGGCCAACTGCAACACGAAACATATGCAGGAAGGTCCCCCTACGGCCTTACTGCCTTTTAACAGGCTGCTGTTGGGGCAAGTGCTGTTAGCGAGCAGCGCCTGTGAAGGCCGACGCGGCACACGAGGGGGCGATGTGGCCAGCACCACGGCCGGCCGCCTTTGTCTCCCCAAAATGCTGACATTTACTACACACCGCGCCAGGCATAAGAACTACCACCGCGTGGCCTTACCCAAAAACAACCAGGGGCTCATCGTATCGGCTGCAAAAAATTGAAGTTCGAAGTTAAATCCGACCGTCGTATTGTGAAATTCGACACGTGGTTTCGTGTCCTCACCCCCCCCCACCCCTTCCACACCCCGCACAGCCCAGCGCTCGGCCCAGGAGCTGCCGCTCGTGGAGGGCCAGAGCGTCGACGGCTGCACGGCGAACGGCGGGCAGCAGCTGGTGCTACGTGGGCACAACTTCCAGCCGGAGTCGCGCGTCGTCTTCCTGGAGAAGGGGCCCGGTGGGTGCCACGCGCCGCTCCGTCGCAACGACGCGGGGCGCGCGCACTGCGACCAGGAGCACGCACGGGCCCGAGCACGCTTTAGGCCGTAGTGCGCCCCAAGCCGGAGCGTGCTACAGGCCGGAGGGCGCTACAGCCCTTTGCGCACTCCAGCCTTTAGAAGCGATCCGGGGCGTAGCGTGATCTGGGCCGTAGCGTGCTCAGGCCTGGAACGTGCTCCGGGCTGTAGCGTGCTGCAGGCCATAGCACACGCACCCTCAACAACAACAGCAGCAGCAGCAACAACAACAACAACAATGTCAATTCCTCTCCTACTTTCATGATCACATACAATCTAATCGTATCTCTAATGGCTCGAGATGTATGTGTCGTACATTTGTATCTTAATTGAGCAATGTTTTTGGTTGTCAGAATTTGTTTCTTCAACTTACCCATGAGCTGAAACAATAATAATAATAATTGGCACTTTCAAACGCTTACACACGTGACAAGTTTTGTTTGCTGTGCTGGGTAGTTAGAGGGTTTTGTACTACACGCGTTTGAGCCGATGGCTACGTGGCATAGCCCAAAGATCGATTATGAATCGCATCGGCCGACATCATGAACGGATAATGGCAGCTGATATGATTCATGAGGTGACGGTTGCGGCTGATGAAAAATAACAATAGCGGAGTGGCAGATGTAATTCTATCGGGTACACCGAGGAGACGGAGCGATGGGGTCGACTCTTGTGCCGGTTGCCGGTTGTGTTGTTATCTAGCAGGATCTTGAGGGTTGGTGGAGACCTGGGGATGCCTTCATCCAGCAGCGAATTGATCATGTCTGATGATAACGACGATGAATCGCATGCGATAATTTACAGCGCTTATGGATGAGATGCAATTTCACTCCACGTCGGCCATGCCGGGGTTGTTTTGTCCGTACTTCACCGCGCTGGTCGGCATGGGCTTGCTTTGACGATGGGCGCCTTTCCCGCCCCCCCGCCCGCCTCCCCACCCGCGTTGGTAATAAGCCGGCTCGGTCGCACGCAGACCGCCGCTGTACTCTGTCGTGGTCGCCCCCTGCCGTGCCGCGCTGTCTGGCACGCTCGCTCCGCTCACCGTCTGGGTGATGCACAATGCCTGCCAAAAGGGAAGCCAAACAATATGGGGAGGGGTGGGGGGGTGGAGTGGGGGGAGTGGGGGGGGGAGCGGGGTGCCTTTTGAAAAATCGGAGCTTAAGTATGCGTCCGATGGCCCCTAACGGCGCGCGGCGGATTACTCTGTCCCGGTGAATTGGCGCGCACAAACACACCGCAACCTGGGCCGCTACAGAAAGTGCGTCTCCGTTCAGACGGCGGGCCTCTTTGGACGTCTTCCAATCCTGTCCATTGAGTAAAGTTTCTGTGTTTCCGTGTTATATATGCGTGTACAATGAGTATATATATAGTAGACGTAGGCTAAGCTGGGTGTGGTGATGACGCATGCCTTTAATCCAAGTGGGGGGATCCGACGAGACTAGAAAAACGTTCAAACCCACCGGGCAGCAAGGTGGCCAGTAGATTAGCAGTACAGCAAGTAGGTTTGTATACAACCCATCTATGTCGCCCTCTGAGCGGTATCGTCCGGCGGTACGCATTCAGTTCATCCTGGACCTCTGATTACCTACCACGTGCTCGACGTGCATAAAAAATAAACGGGTGGCCATGGCATTGAGGACGCACGCTTTCATGGAGCGTTGAATGGCATTATGATTATTATATTCGTAGCAAGGCCTATCACAAAATCGCCTGAAACGCTCCCGGTTATGTCGGATCTCGGCAGCTAAGCAGAGACCTTGAGCCTGGATGAAAGTTGCTTGGTCGGACGACCAGAGAGAAGCCCCCTTACAACGAGCTAACCCCAAAAGGAAACAACTAATTTTGAACCATAATGTCGGTCGCGTGGGCCTACGCGTAAAATTACAGCGCCGTTCGTTGCCAGCCGCACGACAGTTTTGGGCCTTGGGCCCTTTGGCCATTGCGCCTTGGCATCGCTGATTACAAAAATATAAAAAATCATAATTGCTTACATTCTCTTGCCCACCGGATCGGTGCTCCAAGCGAGCCCGTTGAGCCTCCCAGACACCTACCACAAAGTCGTGTTTTAGCCACAGAGTAGTGGGTTGTTTTCAACGCTCGTCGTCCACTTACCCGCCCGGGGAAACGCTTGACGGAGCCTCTCGGTCTCTTCACGAGGGCCGCCTGCTCCTAGCGTCGGCGGGCCAGTTCTGCTGTCGAGTAATTTTTGCGTACGGTACCAAATCCCGGGCGCACCTGGAAGGAAGTTGCACACACGCAGGAGGGAGGAGAAGCACTGGAACTTCGCGCACGGGCTAGGCCAGCAACCTACTTGCTGTACTGCCCCCCCCCCCCGCCCTGGCAGGCATGGCATCGTCGCACGAAACCGGGCTGCTCGCTTACCAGAGTGCCAAGCGTGGGGAGCAAATCTTCACCGGTGTCAATTTCAGTAATATTACGGGCGGACGATGAATGATCATACCTTTAACATGTCAGTGCAATAATATTGCTTTAAATTAGCTGTAGAGTGCAGGTATTTATATATATATAAAAGGGAAATTTGTGAATGTGTGTCTGTTCGAAATGTTTAGCATACTTCCCGACATGCAACAAACTTTAACTATGGCACGTGGGTAGCTTCCAGACTGTACACAATGCAAATAGTATAAAAATAGACTTTTGTATTTTGGCGGGGGGGGAAATGGGGACGCAATAATGGATATATTTTGCATGGCAAGTGAGCGGTGACGTCACATCTGTGATGTCACCCTCACGCGGCAGCGTCACACAGTATGCCTGATGACGTCACACAGTTTGCCTGATGACGTCACGCAGTGTGCCTGCTGACGTCACGCAGTGTGCCTGCCGACGTCACGCAGTGTGCCTGATGACGTCACGCAGGGTGCCTGATGACGTCACGCATTGTGCCTGCTGACGTCACGCAGTGTGCCTGATGACGTCACGCAGTGTGCCTGATGACGTCACGCAGTGTGCCTGCTGACGTCACGCATCCCCCCCCCCCCCCCAACCCTCCACGTAGACCCTCTATGAATCCCAGACAAGAATCCAACTCCCGGGCGAAGCCGGGTAGTAAAGCAGGTATAGATATATGACGCTTAGAAGTGATGTCCGCCTGAGAAGGCATAATTTACTCGCACCGTATAAAATTTAAACACGGCTCTTGAGTGACGTAGCAGCCGCGATATCACCGGTATTTGTCACCGTGAAGTCGGCAGGTTTAAGCGCTATTTTGCGTGCTGTATGATTACTTTAAACAGCTTTGTTCTCGGCTTCCGTATCGTTCAATCCTTGCCCCCGCCCCCCCCCTCCTTGTCAGAATTATTTCAATTAATTTTACGACAATGGAGTAATTGCAGCTGTTAAACATTACGTAATTGTTTTGCACCATCGTTGCAGTTTGCAGTGAGCTCTTGGCCATTGACGTTTGTTTCGTTAGGAGATGATATCTTCACAACGCGCGCGCGGGCAGCCTGCACCCGCCCCCATGCGCTCGCGCCAGTGTGAAGAGTTATTCTTATTTTATTTATTTTTCTTCTGATTTGGGGGGGGGAGGGCCCACACGATCCAAAGCACCTGATGGCTCTTGGCGGTTGGGTTACAGAGGCCACACCTTTGCAGGCCCGTGCCCTGACCGGAGCTGTCACGCTCGCTTAAGTGAGACGGACGGCCGGTTGGAAGAACGGCGGTGGGGCTGCCAGGATTCCGGGGGAACCGGCAGACACAGAACTCGGTTCAACGCGTTGGACATGTGGTGCATTCCACAGCGCGGTGTGTCATCGTTGAAAAAGAGGGGCGGGAGGGGGAGCTCCCTTCCTCTGCCAAGACGGTGGGCCGCAGCCGGCGGCGTCTGCCGCTGAGCGCGCCGGTGGTGGGCGTGCGATTGCCGGTGCGTCTGTTGCGCATGCGTACGTGCGTCCGCGTGTGTGCGTGTGCATACGTGTGCGTGTCCGTGTGCGCGTCCGTGTGTCTGTGCGGTTAGCGCGCTTGCGCTACGACCCGTCGGTCAGGGTTCGATCCCCGCTGACGGTCGACATCGGTGACGAATTTTTGAACCAGTCCTGGGCCTCCCCTAGGTCAACTCAGCCTCAAATAAGCACCTGGTGCGGTGTAATCATCGCCACTAGGGAGGCGAAGGTGGCCGGGCTTGGTGCTAGCCACCCGCCCCCTCGTGTGCCGTGCCGGCCTTCATGGGTGCTGCTCGCTAACGACAGCATTTGCCCCTAACAACAGTCTGTTAATCCTTCACGGGGGACCTTTGACTTTGTGCGTGTGTCTGTGTGGAGTTGGCGGGAAGGGCGTTGTGGGGTTTTTGCGCGATGTGTTTTTGCCAACAGTCATCACGGGCTCGCCCTGCCGACCCTGACGTTAGCCGCCGAAAACCGCGGAGCGTCGCGGGTTTTCCCTCGACAGCCCCCAGTTCAACGCGGATTTTTGTGTAAACAAAAAAAAGTGTCACTCCTTTGGTCATTGACGCTGTCCTCACGTTGGACCAAGATGGCTCTCTCCCAATCCAGAGGTGGGCGCGCTTCGTTTTGACATCTCAAGTTTCTTAAATCCTTCCGCTGCGTATCAATGGTTACATTGTAAGTCGGTTGGCAGGTGGTGGAGAAAAGTGTGGGCATCCCCCACCTGCCTTTCCAACGCGTCTGTTCCGAAGCGGAAGTTTTCAGCACCTAAATATCCTCTCGGAGGGAGCTCTCCAGAGCTTGGGGAGGCCGTTTCCGGCAGCGGTGGCGTGAGCCGGCAATTGCCGGGCTGCACCTTGTACCCCGGCGTGAACCCGTGACGCCGTACGGTATCGCCCACTCGCATCGGAAAAAGCGCAAGGGAAAGTACGAGATGTAAAAACAAAACACAAACCTGACACTCCCGTGTCATCGACGTAGCCTTACAACTGAAAAAAATATATATATAATGTCCTCTTACGAATTTGTCTGTAAGTCACTTACCGCCGTGTGTCAATCCACTGCTGCAGGAATGGCCTTCCCCTTTGACGTGTGGGTCCTAGAGGCTGTTTGACCATACTACACCGTGCTGGTTCGCACCCCCCTCTGAAAGTTTGTGAAGAACACTGAGCTAAAGGAGCTCGTGTCAACAGCACGAGCGGAATCACACGATGCTGTCTGATGATGATGGTGGTGGTGCGGTGGTTAGTGCACTGCGACATATGAAGCTGGTTCTCCTGAGTTCGATACCTGGTCACGGCTAACGTCGTTGGTGAGCGATGTCTGAACCGCTCCTGCGCAACCCTTTCACCGACCTGCGCTCATCAGCGTGGTGAAGAACGGTCAAACAACCCTCCGCACAACGCGGCAAGCACGGTCGGCTACGAAGTACGGTGCGAAAGAAGTTCAACGCACACAGGTTGGGGGGAGACCTCACGGTCGCTTCGGATAGATCTCGCCACTGACGATCGCCCTGTCCGAGGATCAAACTCAGGTCACCGGCTTTATAGGACGGTGGCGCTGAGCACGACGCCACTTTCGGCGGGCGTTATTGAAGAGGGTGGTTGCGGTTTCAACAAAAAAAATGATCTTATTTGCGAAGGAAAGTTGCCGTTTTTCGTATTTTACACATCCACTCACGGGGCAGTCAGAAACGGCTCATTGCTTTAGCAGCAAAAAACTCGCCTCAAAAAAACACAAATGGCCGAGGAGGAGTGTGGAATTTATAAATTCATGTTTTTTTTTTTATTTGATGCCTCGAGCGGCTTTAGTTGACACATTGATGGCCCGCACGGCTATAAGTTATTTACGCTCCGCAGGCCACCTCAATAAAGCCAACGCTGCCGTTGCATTTTTTACGCGAAGGTCAAATTCGCGTTGTTGCCCCCCCCCCCCCGCCTCATCCCGCCCCGCTTCCCCGGTGTAAATTCCACATTCCTATGGAAAGTGTAGGTTCTATCGTGCGCGCCGTTGTTCCTGTGCCAGCGCACCTTGGGGGCGCGGCTGCGTTGGTCGGCGTGAGGGCCGTGCACCCCAGAGGGTGGTGGGCCGTGCACCCCAGAGGGTGGTCGGCCGCAGTGGAGATGGAGCGATGAGCGCGTCGAGTGAGACTCGTTGCGGATCGCAATCCAGCAGCGGATTAAATCGGGAGTTAATTTTCCGAGTATCTTTTTTTTGTTTGTATTTGTGCAGCGTCTTAAGCTCAAGGCGCCTCTATAACAGAGTTTAAAAGCGGTGACAGGAACAGAGTGGTTTAGATGGCAGGGGCAGTGCAAGGCCCGAGGGATGAGTGACCGTGACAAGAGGGCACACGCGGGGGTCACGGCGGCAGGGGAGGGACGGGAAGGGGTGGAGGGGCGAGGGAAGAGGAAGGGAATGGGCGATGCAGAAGTGGAGGTGAGGCTTAGAGAGAGGAGGAGGTTAAGGAGGGAGGACTGTTTCATGTACAGGGGTAGTTTTAGGTCTATGGGCAGTGTTGAGTCTATGGGGCAGTGTTGAGTCTACGGGGTAATGGGAGTCTCTGGGCAGTGTTGAGTATTTGGGGTAGTGGGAGTATGGGGCATTGTTGAGTCTATGGGCAGTGTTGAGTCTATGGGTTAGTGTTGAGTCTATGGGGTAGTGTGAGTATGGGGCAGTGTTGAGTCTATGGGGTAATGTGAGTCTATGGGGCAGTGTTGAGTCTATGGGGCAGTGTTGAGTCTATGGGGTAGTGTGAGTCTATGGGCAGTGGAGAAAGAGGTGAGGCTTTTTGAGGGCAGAACGACAGGAGTTTTTAAGAGTAGTGCGACTGTAAAGCGGATTGAGTTGAGGAATGAGTGACAGCGATAGAGTGCTCCGTAGGGATCGCGAAAGGATAGAGATGCGAAGGAGTGGAGTGGCGAGGAGATGGGAGGGAAAAGGACGAGAATGTTCCGTAGAGAAGAGGTGAGCTGACGAGTCAAAACGACGGGTCTTGGCACATTATCCTTAGAAAAGCAAGAAGTGCAAAATGTTTAGATGCGTGTGTGTGTCTGTGTGTTTGTGTGTAACCCGTCCCGAGCGTTAAGTGCAGCGGCCGGCAAAGGTTCGCGCGGGCGACTTGAAAATGCGCCCCATTGCAGAGGAGAAATGCGCCACACAACTGGCCCATTCACCAGTGGCTTCGCCTCGCCTTAGGGGAGATTCCAGCCGAGCGCTCGTGGAGAATTTATTGGCCGGCGCTCGGGAGGAGACGTGGGGGCTGGGAGAGGGGGTGGGGTGGGTGGGGGCAGAGGGGGGGGGGATTCCAGGGGTTTCTCTGCCAGAACACAGAAGACTCGTGTGTAAAAACAGGAGAAAGAAATACAGATTTCTTTTTTGTTTCAAAATATATTTTGGTTTGTCCCCGTGGTAACACTTTTTGTGGAAAGGTCAAAGCGGGGAGGGTGTTGTGGGTGGGTAGGGGTGGGGGGGAGGTTCGTGTGCTCGTATGTGGCCGGGCTGCCTCACAGCGTGCGTGTTTGCGCAGACGTACGCCCTGATGAGTTTCTCTTATGAGTTCTGAGCACGCACGCGCGAGCGAGCGCACACACACAAACGCACGTGTGTGCATATGCTCACGGAACCTCGTACAAAATCCACCCCCCCCGCTCTTCCCCCGAGTTCATCCTCACGTGCTGTCGGTACAAGTGCTGAGCGTGAACACCTGTTGTGGTGCGAGTGGAGCGCTGTGCAGGGGTGGTGTGGCCAGCACCAACGCCACCCACACCTGTGTTTGGCAATCCGGCGCTAAATACTGCGACGAAACGCGTTCGGGTTTACTCGGCCGTAAACAACGTGGCCAAGAACGGAGTTTCTGGGACGATAGCGCTCTGTTTAAACCACGACTACACCACCCACCCCACATTTAATATAATATATATAAATAAACTAAAATATATATATATAATTAGCACAGTTGGCTACTTTCGGTGAGAAGAAGGTTCAACATACATATACATAATATATACATATATATAATAAATATATATAATAAAAACCTGTATAGACACCCAATACAAATTCCCCAATTATACAAGCCACACAACTGGAGCACATACTTGAGTTGCACCCCCCCCTCCCCCACGCCTCCCCCCCCCCTGGCATCACATTGCCATTTGTTAATTTTTTTAGACGGATATGTTTTTGTCATCTTGGTTCTTTCGGTAAAGTCAGGTAGAAGGGAAATAATAAAATAATAAAAATAAAACAATTAAATAATTCTCACGACGTTTCGGCCAAAACGCAAGCAGCCGTCCTCAGGTGAAGACCAGGTTTTATTATTGTATTATTTCCCTTCTACGTGACTTTACCGAAAGAACCAAGAAGATGAATCCCTGCAGTCACGAAAGCTTTAAATCGAAATGTTTTTTGTCAAATTGATTTGGTTGCCATTCTGATACGAGCGGCCGGGTTCGCTGGGCCCGTTTAGCTTCAGGAGCTGCCCCCTCCCCCCCGCCCCGGTCCCTGTCGATGGTGAGTGCGGTTCCACGCTAACACTCCCGCCCCCCTTCTTTCTCCACTGGTTTTCTGCCAAAACAAAAGGGGAGGAAAACCCCGTGTCCCTCGCCATGGATCCTCTCCCGCGACCCCAGCATGCATTTGTCTTTATCGGAGCGCCCGTTAGTTGCCGTGCACACAGACGGACAGGTCTCATGCTATCGCGCTTTCAACGTTTGGTTGGAAAGTATTGAAATACTCTTTGGTTCTTTCGGTAAAGTCACGTAGGTAGAAAACTCATAATAGATAACGACGTTTCGATCGCCACACTGCAGACGGTTGCTTGTGTGGCGATCGAAACGTTCGTGGTCTATTATTAAGAACCAAAGAGTATGGATTCCTGCAGTCACGAAAGCTTCAAATCAAGTCTTCAAATGCTTTACTTTTTTGGGTCTTTTGGAGCAGGGAGGGGGACCCTGCTGTCCGCGAGCGCGGTTCAAGCAGAGGAGTTACTAACGACGGCTCGTTTCGCGTCCCCCCCCCCCCCAACAGATGGGAGGAACCTGTGGGAGGTGGAGGCGAAAGTGGACAAGGACAAGAGTGAACCGGTGAGATTGACCTCTCGCGACCTGAAAAGGTTTCCCGAATGGAAGAGAACTGCGTTGCAGCGAAAACACGTTCCGGTGTGTGGGCACCGCCGCGCGTTAAGCGAGGGTTTGGCCTAGTCCTGTGCTCCTACGCCTGTGCTCTCCGCCCCCCCCGCCCCACCGACCTTCACCAACCACCGCTTAACCAGCGTGGTGAAGTACGATCAAATAACCACCGTGGCTCGTGGCGTGGGGAGGCCGTCATCCGGCAGCAGATTTACAAAAAGGGGCGTGCGTTAGCAAAGGTTCGTCAGTGTGTGATTTTTTTTTGAGTGGCAGTCGTAATAACTTCATCGCGGCGTTTCTTTTTAGTCATCAGAAATAACGTCTTTTTTTATAACACAAAGAAGGAAGTCTCGTTCGTCGCTTAAGTCTGCGGTTTTTCCACCGTAGGAATAGATACACAATTGCGAGCAGAAATAGCTTCTCTTTCGTTCTAAATTTAGCGTACCTTGGCAAAGGACAGACGTATTGTGTGCGTGGAGTGAATGCATATTTACGTCTCGGTATTTTTTTGCGCTGTTCCTGAAGCAGAACTACGTTTGCGTGATTCAGAGAGGGGGAACTTGCTCTTGTTGACGTTAATGTTACCGGTGAATTTTGTTGTCTTTGACGAATTTTGCGCAGCATTGCTTCGGTGTGCGCATCGTTTACGTGCGTGCTTTTGCATATTGTCGTTGTTATTGTGGGGTTCCAGAGTGAGCGAGATGTTAACCACCTGGGCCTGGTATACAGGAGGTTGTTGGTTCGATCTCGACCCTGACTCCCGTATACTTGGAGTTTTCATGTCTCCTCGATTCCTCCGGTTTTCCCCTCCACGTTTAGAAACACGCACTTTGGAGTATTTGGCTGCTGTAAATTTCCGTGCGGCAAGGCCACTTTTGAATCAGCTATAATTTGTGATGGCCAGGCCGCTTATGAAACAGAGCCACATAGCTTAGTGGGCCTTACGTGGTAAAATAAAAATAGTTGAAATAGTTTCGTTTTTTATATTCGAGCATGTTTCCAAGCAGGCATTTAAAAAAATCTAATCACGATGATTGCATTTTAACGGTGATGCTTTCAAATCTCACGTGTTATGTTTTCACATTGTTTCTTTTGTTTTATTGGGGAATACAATTATTGTGGAGTATTGCGTTTAGATCAATATAAATTGTTACATTGCGGATAGTTTGATCGGCAGGTCGTGTATGGTGGGATAAAGTGTGCACACTCCGACGTCTTGCGAGAATTCTGGCCAGATCCCCTCGAGGGAGGCACCCAAAGAGCTCTTGTTAGTGGAGGAGCATCCACCAGCAGTGGCTTGAGCGGGGAATTGCAGGGGCTGCACCTTGCACTTAAATACCTCTGCAACTCAAAAAGCGCCTTGTATCGCATCTCATCTCAACCATTACAGTGGCCTGCTTGCAGTCTTAGCCATGGGTGTGGTGGGGTAAAGGCCTCTGACGGCGTGAAAGAGTAGACCAAAATAGCCCCCTCTTACAGCTCTCCCTAGTGGAGGCTCCTGCACCACAACTGCCATGAGCAAGCAATTGCAAGGCGGCACCTTCAGCTTCGAGTATATGGGTTATAAAACCTAACGTGTGATCCTGGCATTCGCTATCCGCATGCTCTTCGCATTCCATGCCCCCCCCCCCTCCCGTGCCCCCCCCCTCCCGTGCCCCCCCCCCTCCCGTGCCCCCCCCTCCCCCACCAGACGAGCCTGGTGGTCGAGGTTCCTCCGTACCAGAACAAGGGCATCAGCCACCAGGTGCAGGTGCAGTTCCACGTGTGCAACGGCAAGCGCAAGCGCAGCCAGCCGCAGCGCTTCACGTACCTGCCCACCAACGGAGGCCTCTCGCCCGCACTGCGAGACCGTGAGAGCACGCACACGCAAGCATGCACGCACACGCAAGCAAGCATGCACGCACACGCAAGCACGCACACGCAAGCACGCACGCACACGCAAGCACGCACCCGCAAGCACGCACACGCAAGCACGCATGCGCAAACACGCACGCGCTCGCTCGCACGCGCGCAAAGTTCCCTTTGCAGCCCCATACAGACTGATGGGGCAAATGTTCTGCGTTTACTCTTCAGTACATGGGTGTTGTGCTGAACGTGTAACTCATTGGCATTTTTTGTGTGCGTGACAAACCTTACTGTTTGCCTGTATCGGGTGGTGGCGGGCTTAACGGCACATTTATATTTACGCGATCTAACCCATAAAAAAACCTCTGTTATTGTTAAACTGATGGGGCAAGCGCTGTTAGCGAGCAACCTATGGAGGGGCCGGCACAACGTGTGATGGGGTGGTGGTACGTCCAGTGTGCCGCGCCAGGCTGTCATTGTCTCCCCACACTGGAGCAGGTATTCACTTAAGGCTGAGTTGACCTAGAAGAGGACGAGGACCGGTTCAGATATTCGTCACCAATGTTGGCTATGAGTGGGAATCAAACTCGGGGCGACAACACTTTTATAGCAGTGCGCTAAACCACCACCCTACCAACAACAACTGCCATTGGCCACTAAGTGGTGGTGACGTCGCCGCAGTGCCTGTGCCAGGCTAGGTGCGCTTTGAGGCCCACGCGAAGTGTCGAAGGCTCGCCGGCAGGAGATCACCGGACAGACCCAGCAGGTGCCGTGGGTTGACTGACACAGATGACTGGCCGGTGCACCAGCTGCGCACGCGTGCGCACAGGCCCCGGTCAAGTGTGGCCTCAAAACAATGGGCGCAAATATTCCTTGTGCCCCCTTATAACGGGGTTTTTTGGGTCGAGAAATCATATATAGGCCGCGGGGCACTCCGTCCCTGTATTCGCCCCGGTATTTTTAAGGACACACTTCGTTCGTGCTTTCTGTTTGTCGTCAAAGTGGTGCTGGAGGTTATACTTCCCTTCGATGGGGGCGAGCCCAACCAAGCACGGGGCAAGCCGCTGTTGAGTTTCCCCCCCCAAACAAACGAAAGAACGGTCCCGTTGACCTTAGAGGAACGACGAGCCGAGTCGACCCCCCCCCCCCCACCACCTTGATCCCAATCGGGATTTTGAACGTTGCAGAAACTCTTCCGCTTGAGAGTCGAGCACTCTTCTTACCTGACCAGCGCACCGCACGGTGGGTGGCGGTTAATTTTGCCGTCGTGCGTGGAGCGCCGTACGTAGCGCTACATTTTACATTTATTTTGATTGCTTAGGCACTGTCGCGTGATGAACCCCGGGAATCGGCGGGGGGGGGGGGGGGGGGGTCAGATCAAATTCCTGGCCACTCGTAACATCCGCGGCCCCCCACCCCCCCCCATCGTGTTTGCCGGCGTGGTGATGGCCCACGGTCTAAAAAGCCACCCACAGCCGCGCGGGCACTCCGCTCGGCATAACGAATCGAGCAGAGGACCAGAGGGCCCCGGTTGGGTTTGACGCAAAGCGCTGCCAATTTGCGACTGTGACGACGGCGTATCCAGAGGGAGGGGGGCGGTGGGGTGAGCGGGGAGGCCATTACGAGCAAAAGCCCAGTGGCATCAGGTGACAATTAGTGCCACTGATTCGGGGGCGAGGGTGGGTGGGGAGGTGGTGGCTGTTTGTCAGGGCAACAGGCAGGGTCTGTTCCAGCGGTATTTTCACGCTTGCTTCCCATTAGTGCCGGGTCACAGAGCAGCGCGTGGCTGCAGCGTAGCGGCGGCGGTGGTGGGTGGTGGTGGTTGTGTCCTTTACTTAACCGGGAGTTGATGTGCAGGCCCGTTGAGACACGCCATACGTTCCCCCCCCCTCCCCCCCTTTTTTTTCCACGGGCGGTCTGGGTTACTCGGAATATTTCAAAACTTTTTTCGTTCAACAAAGTAGTAAAGCAAAAAAAAAGTCGGAGCGATTTTGCACTTTTCCGCTCAATTGAGCGTTGAGGCACTGGTGCTCATCTCGCGTTTATTTACAGCTGTGTAAAGCGAGTGGTTGGAAATTCCACATTCCTACGACGGTGGTGGGGGCAGGGGGCTGCGAGTCCATCTATGTAACACAACCACAAAGCGCCGCTTATATTTGTTTACCCCAGAGGGGGATGATGGACTATTACAGGCTTTGACGCGTGGGTGGGGGTTGGGGCCCTGTGTCTTTGTGTGCCGGCAGTGCCCATGCTGCCGATTAAGAGCGAGCCGAGCGACGACTTCATGGGGACGACGCCGACGACGACGACGACGCCGGGCGCCCCCGAGCCGGCCGACCTCTCGGTTGAAGTTCCGCCTACCGGGCCGCTGCTGCTCCACCTGGTGCCGCCGGAGTGCGCCGGCATGAGCGCCCACCCTGGCGAGGCTCAGGCGTACCAGGCCCTGCATCCCATGCCACCCAACGGGGTGGACATGCCCATGGACCAACGCTTCCAGGGGCTCGATCACCTCGGGCAGGCCGTGTTCCAGAACGCCGAGATGCAGCACCTACACCACCACCACCATCATCCTCACCACCATCATCACCACCACCAGCAGCAGCAGCAGCATCACCACCACCACCACCAGCAAGAGGATCACCACCACGGCACGGTGCATCACCAACACAATCACCCCCATCAGAGCCATCACGATCATCACCAGCAGCAGCAGCACCAGCTGCAGGGATCCCAGCAGAATAACAACCACTACGGAGCGCTGGCATACCAGGGCTTTCACTCCACAGGCCACGCTCAGCTGCCGTTCGAGACCTTCGCCTTCATAGAGGAGGGCGGCGACGTGGAGGGTCACGGCTTGCACATGGCCTACGAGCAGCTGGGGGTGAACGTAGGGATGCAGCAGCAGCAGCACCAGCAGCAGCAGCAGCACTACGCGTCGGCACCGCCGCTGCCACGCGGGGCCTACTCGGGCTGCGCGTCAGGTGGCATCAAGCAGGAGCCGGCGGAGGGCACGGACAGGGGCCGCTTTCCCATGCAGGGCAACCGGCATCACTTCACGTTGGAGGAGGGTAAGGAGAGGCGCTCGCCCGCAAACGCGCGTGAGGGACGGTCGCACGTGTGTGTGTGCGTGTGTACAGGGGGGAGTATGTGGGTCTGCCCCGTGACCTACCAGCGGGCGTTCGACACTTCACGTGGCCTCAAGGTGCACACGGCCTGGCACAAGCGTCGTGGTGACGTCACCGCCACTTAGTGGCGAATGGCGGTTGTTGTTGTTGTACGCACCGTACGTAGCCAACCGTGCTGATGGGAGGTGCGGTGGAAGGACGACAAACTAAATACACACAAAAAACGTGCCCGCCACACGTGGGAGCGTGGACCTGATGGACATGGTATGATGGGGATGAAGTGTGGACATTTTATTTATTTTACTTTTTTATTTATTTTACTTTTATTCATTTTATTTTTTACCTACGTGACTTTACCGAAAAAACCTAAAAGTATGAATCCTTGAGCTTCAAATCTAGAAATAAAGTGTGGGCAGTCGTACCTTTCCCGAGATGTCCGGCCGGCCAGTGTGGAAGAGTTGACAAAGATGCCATTCGAGGGACGCTCGCTAGAACTCCCGTTAGCGGAGGAGCATCCATCCGCCAGCAGTGGCGAGAGCGAGAAATTGCGGTGGCCTTGCTGCAGCCTAGCCAAGTGTGACCCCAGGGGCAGCTGTCCCTGTGCGAACAGAGACAGAGTGACAGAGACGCAGAGCTGCAAGGGGGGGAGGGAGCATGCGAGCGAGCGAGTGTGTTCATGCAGACAGGACATCGGACAAACCCGGGTCTTGATGTCCTTTCACGAACGTTAGTCAACGCTAAGACCATCCTCTCAGCCTCGCATTCATGCCCGCGCACTGCCACCCAGGGTCCGCTCCTATAGGAGTGCATTGAAGTCAATTGCACACGCAGTAGGAGCAGGTACCATTTCAATTCCTCAATCCCTCCGTTCCCACCCACTGTTGGAAACATTGTCGCGACTGAGGGTTGCAATGCTATGCAGAAGATTCTACTTTTTGGCTTGTTTTTACGATCTCATTTGTATCGCTTCTCATTTGTATTGTTTGAACAGTCTCGCTTGAATGCGATTTTAATCCCTCACCGATTAGTGCGGTTGGCTACATACGGCGCGAAAGAAGTTCAACCGTACATGCTTCGCTTCCGTGGCCCAATATGTAACGGCGGACTATAATTGTCATGAAGTTTTTGCATCGGTATTGCCATGTGGCGCTGTGGCAGAGTACAAGACCCGTGATGTTGATGTCCCAGGTTCAATTCCTGGTGGACCAGCTGACACCGTCATCCCTCCAGGGTCAAGGGGGGTGGGAGGGGGGTGTTTGGCGCGCGACTGCAACTCTCGTATCGATGATCGAATACGAGCCAACCTGTGGCGTTACTTTGTTTTCCTCTCGGGCACTTAAGTGGATTGAAAACTGACCAAAAAATCAGTCAAAAAAAGGGGGTTGCCCAAAATTTTGGGAGCACCAAATTCCAGAGCGGAGAGCGCCGTTTGCGAATATGTATTCCTGTTTTTCCTTCATACCTGTTTCCCATTCAAGGCAGCAAACCAAATTTTGGAAAGCGTTGCACAATACATCCCAATGCAGAGCTTGTTTTATATATCTATATACATCGTGTATATCTGTAAGGAGCTGTAGGGATCCGTTCTCACTTAACGGGGGTAGGGTAACAGAGCCGGCGGCGACGACGACATTCAAGCCGTGGCGTTTTATCGCACGGGCAAAGCAACGGCGACAAAAAAAAAAGACGATCGCCGAGCTGGGTACGCCGGCTCGCTGCGTGTCACGGTGCCGCGTTAGTGACCGCATCAATAGGGACGTGTGTTACGCGTGACCCTGTTTCCCCCGTCGCTGACCCCGACACCCCACGCCGTTCCTGTGCAAGGGGTCATCCGAGGGTATTGCCCAGAGGCAACGCATGGCTGACCCCTGGTGCCCTTTGCGCAGCGTGCGCACACCCCCACCAATGCCTTTGGGGCAGGGGCGGCTGGGGGTGGGAGCGGGGGAAGGGCAGCGGCTCCTGCGGTGATGAAGACCCCCAAACCCCGTTGAGAGGTCATTTTGGTTTCGGGTCATCGTAGGGTGGGGCTGCGTGGGTGGTGGGGGCTTTAAACGACACGCAAACACGCCGAGAGAGCACGCGGCGTTGTTGCGTTATGCAAAAGAAATGAACATCGGCAGCTGCTGAAGAAGGGCATTGTGGGTCCTCGTCTCTTAGGTGATCATCATAATCAATTTGAGCGAATATGACCGACTGACAGCAGCAGTGATGCCAAAACCATGGACCGGTTTTCGTCCTCATTGGTCCTCATCAGCACAGTATTATCACCGATGATTTGCGCACTGCTGCAAAGTCTGCCTCTGGGAACCATGTACGATGTGCAGTCCCTGCTTTCACAAGCTGGAGCCCCATTAGCTTGGCTAATGCCAAGATCAATCGCATCTGTAAATGACGAGGCGGGAGGGGCGTCGGTAGGAGTGCGAATTAGACTGCGGTAAGAACCTCGCATTTATTTTTGCGCGCGTGCGGTGGTTTTCCTTTCCGCCGCACGTTACATCCAGTCAGTCCACCGCTGGATAAAGGGCCTCGTCCTCACCGCACGTGGGGGGTTCCCACTGGTTGTTTGACCATACTTCGCCACGCCGGTCAGCGTGGATTTGGCGAGCCGACGTCATAGGAGCCTTTCACCGATAGACTTTGTTTATTTTCGCGCCGTCGCCCCCTCTGCTGCCGGTCGCAACGTAGAACTCGGCCGGTGCCCGGAAGCGTCCCGTTGTGCCGTGGCTGCTCACCCACCCGAGCACCGTCTGCGCTCGACGCTGCTCGGCAGCCTCTTGCAGAGGTCGCAACCGGGTACCCGATACCCGTACCCTACCTGATACCCGGCTACCCGTACCCGGCCGGGTACGGGTACCCGTTTGCGACCCTGGTGCGGCCGGGTACGGGTACGGGTAGGCCGTGAGTCACTGGTGAGTAACCGATTGTCACTCATTTCCCAACGTTTTGTCTCTTCTCACAATTCAAGTTCCTAGAATCAACCCACCCACGCCTGCAACATGGCTTCATCCCAGAGGTCGCAATCAGGTACCCGATACCCGTACCCTACCCGTACCCGGCCGGGTACAGGTAGGGTACAGGTACGGGTACGGCCGGTTACGGGTACGGGTACCCGTTTGCGGCCCTGGTGCGGCCGGGTACGGGTACGGGTAAGGAATCAAAACCCGTTTGCGTCCTCTGGCCTCTTGAGACCTGTTGAGCTATCACTTGTTGCCAGGTCGCTTCTGAAAAAGAGCGTTATAGCAGTGTGGGTCCTCACCTGCTAAAATAAAAATGAGTAAATTTCGGCAGGGATCATCCAGGTGAGCAGCCCCATCCAATATCCCTCTCACCATTGCTGTGACTGCTAGCAGTCGCCACCGCCGCCTATATAAGTGCCTGCGTGGTATGGCACCACCATTATTTATCGGAGTTACGCGTGCCTGCCGCCAACGATGAGAAGACGACAACACCTCAGGTCTGCTGCTGCTCGTGGTGTTCTCATCATCGTCTTTGTTGCGACGCGTAATCCCCGCCTAGCGATGAGCAGCGACCGCGCTTTTCAGAAGGCTTGCGCCCCTGTCGCATCGTGGAATTCTCTACCCGCGGAAAAAAAACTCAAGAACAACAAAGCTTGAGTTTCAACCACTTCAAGAGGCACCTTAAAATTATTTCAATGAACACAGCCTGACCAGACAGCAGTGCGCGTTCGGGATGCTATCGGCATGATTTTGCGTTTGTACGCGTGTTGAACGTCTTTCGCATCGTACGTAGCCAACCGTTTACGTTACGTTACTGTCGTCTACCGGCGACTCGAAAAATCCCTGGCCGAGACCACGAATCCCCGGTCACGCATTCGGCTGACTTATGAAAACCTTCGTCTTCATCGTTCCGTCGTTGGAGCACCGTGGCCAAGCGGTGAAAGAAACGGGATTGGGCGGAAAGCGGGGATGTTTTTTTTCGGTGGGGGAAGCACGGGGCGGGGCGGCATTTAAACTTTTGGCCGCTGCCGCTGCTGCTGCTGGCAGATGTACGAGCGAGCGATGGAGAGGTGAATTTGGTGCGAAGGGAAACGGGCAGGGGAGGGCCAGGAGACCATGCGGTCGTGTGGGTGTGCGCGCATGTGTGTGTGTGTGTGCGCACGTGTGTGTGTGTGCGCACGTGTGTGTGTGCGCGTGTGTGTGTGTGCGCGTGTGTGGGTAGAGGTTTTTGGATTATTCTTGGCAGCTGCAAAGGTGGCCAGGTATACAGTAGAGAAACAAGCCCGGCCAATTAAAAAAACAACACAAATATTCCATCCGCCCACTGTGTGACTGGCTTCACACGCAGCGAGGTGCAGTCTCGCTCTACGGGGATGTGTGTGTGTGCGTGAACTACATTTGTACGGACAGACGGGAGTACTCACGGGGCTGCTGGCGTGGTGTCGTGGTTGCGATGCCGGACTGCCGGAGTGCCGCCATGTGTGGTGGGGTAATAGGGGGGCGAGTGCAGCCACTTCTTTCAAGATGTTTGGCCAGCGTGGAAGAGTAGGCCAAATACCGTTCTGGAGAAGGAGCCTTTCCAGAGCTCCGTCTCGTTGGAGGCCCCTTCTGCCAGCAGTCGCGTGAGCAAGCGATTGCAGGGCTGCGTCTGTGCCCTCTAGAAGTGCTCACCGTATGGTCAAGGAGTGGAGTGTGATGTCCAGGCTGGTTTCCAGGCAGGGGGTCGGTTGGAGCAGCGCTTTTACATGGAGCCCCAAAGAATCCACTAATAGATATTCGTCAAGGCCATTCGTCGTTAGGCTGAGGGAGCTATTGAAAGTAGCTTCGCTACTTGAGGCGCGACCTCGTTTTGCTTTCCAGCGCTCGCGGCGTTTTTTTCCACCGAAGCAGATCAAGGTTCGCAAACATCTCGGCGGGGGCGGGGGGGGACGGATTTATTTATACGTATATAATTATATATGTAAACTTTCCTCCAAATTGGGAAAG